AGCTCCTCAGAAGTTTGGCAAGATATGGTATGTTTCTGTTTTATTTTTTGAAATTCATATTGCATGAATTATCTTAATGTCATGATTAGAGTGACAAATGTGTTCCACAAATTTGGGAACCTGTCAGTTTTAAAGCAGTTTGCTAGGAACTACAGGTGGACTGTATGAGAGACCCAAGTGGGGTGCTGAAAGAATTTGCAAGAAATTAGAAGCTAGCACAATTCACAATAGCTAGACTGTGGAACCAACCCAGATGCCCTTCAATAGATGAATGGATAAAAAAAATGTGGCATCTTTACACAATGGAGTACTATGCAGCAGTAAAAAATGACAAAATCATAGAATTTGCAGGGAAATGGATGGCACTAGAGCAGATTATGCTTAGTGAAGCTAGTCAATCCCTAAAAAACAAATACCAAATGTCTTCTTTGATATAATGAGAGCAACTATGAACAGAGCAAGGAGGAAGAGCAGGAAGAAAAGACTAACATTTAACAGAGTCATGAGATGGGAGGGAAAGGGAGAGAAAAGGGAAATTGCATGGAAATGAAGGGAGACCCTCATTGCTATACAAAATTGCATATAAGAGGTTGTGAGGGGAATGGGAAAATAAACAAGGAGAGTAATGAATTACAGTAGATGGGGTAGAGAGAGAAGAAGGGAGGGGAGGGGAGGGGGGGTAGTACGGGATAGGAAAGGTAGCAGAATACAACAATTACTAATTGGACATTATGTAAAATTGTGGATGTATAACCGACGTGATTCTGCAATCTGCATTTGGGGTAAAATTGGGAGTTCATAACCCACTTCAATCTAATATATGAAATATGATATGTCAAGAGCTTTGTAATGTTGTGAACAACCAATAAAAAAAAAAAGAAATTAGAAGCTGTGGGATGGAAAATAATACACACAAGAAGATTGAGGGGATAGGTTTGGCTGTTAGGCTGTGAATATTTATTAATCACTCCCTTTTGTGTGCACATTATATACAGGCACTGTTCTCAGTTGTCCAGGTGTTAGCTTGCTCATCCTCGTAACAGCCCTTGATATTGAAATTCTACCTGTAAGAATTAAGCTTCAGAGGTTAAGTGACTTGCCCAAGATTTCCTGCTTCTAAGTGACCAAAGGGATACCTGTTTGTGTTTTGTTGAGCATCAGAACTCACAAAAAAAGGGACTGGAGGGCTGGGGTTGTGGCTTAGCAGTAGAGTGCTCGACTAGCAGGTGCGAGGTGCTGGGTCCTCATCACCACATAAAAATAAATAAGTAAAGTAAAGGTATTGTGTCCAACTACTAAAAAGAGTGGGGGGGGGCGACTGGAAGAGAGTATTTAACTTAGTAATTTTCAAAATACATCTAGTTCGTTATATGATTAATTGATGTTGATTAATTAAGTCCATTAAAAAGATACTTCGCATTTTTGTGTTTACAAGTTGGAAAGTTAGACTTATTTTGGACCTTTTAAATCCATATACACTGAGAACCCAAGAAGAATTGTATCATGATCAGTCAGTGTTTTTTATTTCCAGGGTGCAATTGTCTCTCTCCATATTACATCAGCAGTACCTAGGTTCTTAACAGGAGACATATAGTTAGGATAGAGAAACTGAAAAATTGACTTATTTTCTTAAAGGAATTATAATTCCTGTTTATCGGAATCCCAGGTTACTTATGTATTCTCAAACTAACCTTAATTCTCTCCTAGATTTGAAGCTCTTTGTTTATAACTGTAGTGGTGTTCCATTGATGTTTCAGCTCTTTCCTTGGGGTTCTCGGATACTTTGCTGTTTTATATTGGATTCTGGGTCCATGCTGTTAACCACTTTCCATGCTTTTCTGTTGTTCTCCCTCTTCATTTTATCATCTTTCTTTAGTTCTCTCCTTAGATTTGACCCAGATATAAAGTTCATTAGGGCATCATTGAGGGGGAAAAACTAATTGGATGAAATGATCTCTTGATACTAGATGTTTCATATGTGTGATATCTTTGCCAGAATTATAATATGGCTTAAAAGGCCTGCTAAATTTGAATTATAATAGTCAGGAAAATTTGATTAAGACCATATATGGGAGTAAAAAGATAATAGGTTGAGGGAAGAAAGGTGGACTTTCTTATCTTGCTATAATTCTTTCATGAAATTGAATCTAATGGGTTGATGACAGAGAGTAGAATACATTTTCATGTAGAAGCTAAGGAGATCTGGCTAATGTTAGATGACTCAAAGAAGGAATAAGTAGAACTAGACTTTGGAGTATGTGTTTGTGTGTGTGTGTGTGTGTGTGTGTGTGTGTGTGTGTGTGTACCCGCGCACGCACATGTACGCTCACGCTTAGGCATGCATGTGTACTTGCATTCATATATATAGGTAGAGCTATTTTATTAAGTATTTGTCTACTTGGTGACTTATTTCTCCATCTGTGATTAAATTAGTCCCATTTAAACTCCTGCTATAATTGTGAGTAAATGATCCATGTTCTAAATCCTTGCTCCTTTATATACATTTAAATCATGAAATTCTATGACAAAAACTAACCCATCTCCCCAAAATATTCCCACCCTTAATAGAAAGTCTGTAGGTCATTGTTTTAGTTCTGATTTCAACACTAATTCTAAAATCTTGGGCAAATCAATTAATTACTCTGAGGCCAATTATTATTGTTATTATTTCTTATAGTATCTGCCTTATTTAGGTAGGTGGAGCCAAAACTGTCCTGATATTTAAGGCACCATTGACCAAAGTACTTTATAAACTCTAATACTACATAAAAAGTACAGATAGCGTCTGTTATCCAAAATGCTTGGGACGACATATGTTTCAGATTTTAGAGTTTTTTTTAGATTTTTGGAATATTTGCATAAACTTTACTGGTTGAGCATACCTAATCTGAAAATCCAAAATCTGAAATACCCCCAAATTTAAAACTGTTTGAGTTGGTGACATGAAACTTAAATTGTTTTAGATTTTGGAGCATTTTAGGTTTTTGGAGAAAGATATTTTAAGAAAACAAAATGCTGGGAAATATTCCTTGAAAACTTTCCTTTAAGTATTTTTCTGATAAATTTTGTATTGAAACCTAATTTGAAGCTTTGCAGATTTCTTTTAAACATTGAATTGAGTTTATATACTAAAGTGTTCTAACCAAAGGTTTGTTTAATTTGTTAGAATTATTAAACCTACGCTCAGATCAAGTTAGCAGCTAGACTGGTGTGACAACCTGTTTTTAATCAGTGACTCAAAGCTGTGATCACCCAGATGTCACCGAATGGCCACAGCTTGTAAAAGGTAATTTTAAATGTTATTTTACAGCCTTTAAGAGGCTGTCATCATAAAGTGAAATACATACTGTAAAAATGAAGAAAATGTCTAGTTGGCAGGAATATTGTTAAGAATAGAGTACCTAAGAGTTGACGTATTTCTCCACTTAATCTCCTTCCTAATGTATTTCAGTTCATTTCCTACCTGCTTTATAAGGTCAGTAGCCACCACCAGAGACTTATCTATATGGATAAACAAGAAAGTATTATTTCATGGTTTTAAATAAACATTTTAAAGAAATGCAGAAAGTTTTTTCATGTGCTTTTTAAAGTATGTTTTTTATGTGGTGGAAGTTTACTTTTCTAGAAGTTTTGGCAACTTTAATAAAATTAGTTTACTTTTTTGTCCTAGAGAGTTATAGTGGAGGCAAAAGAGTAGCTTACAGGATAGAGAAGCTGCACCCATTGGAAATGATCCATCATTTGAATTTGCTAAGTCTTGTTGCAGTATTTAGATTAGTGGGCATTTTTGTGTTTGTTATTTTCTGCAATTCATATCAAGACCTAAAATTGAGAGTCTTCTAGGATTTATTTTTAATTTTCTAATGTTACTTGCCTAATATGTAGTTTTAAAATTATCTAATTTGTTATTCTCACAAACTTTTTAGGTTAACTAAAATCAGTAGTTTTAAAAGAAATTTTTTTCCCCTTTGTGTTATATGTTGTGAATTGGGTAAAATTAGGAGTGTGTTCTGAATTTTGTTTCTAACATTTTGGCAGTAAAAGTGAATAAGCTTTTTAGGAGCCAAAATAATGTTGGGAACTGTTACTAGATGTTTTACACACACACACACACACACACACACACACACATTATAGTTTTGAATCCTCACTTGAAGATATTTTTCTGTAACTTATTTAGAATATTATAGAAATATACTACAAGGGGGGATAATAGAAATTTATTCAGATATTCATTGTTACTCAGAAACAATTCTGCTAATTCTGTATATTCACTTTTCTGTGGATTAAAAAAGTTTGCAATTTGAATGAAAAGCAAACTACTATGTTTAAGAGACCCAGCAGAGATATTTATTTTAGGATAATAATATTTCAGTCTTTTCTTACTCTCATCCTTCTGGACTGGATTATTTTAGAATTATTTGGTTTGACTTACAAATGATTTTTAGTAGCTTACTTTAATATTTGTAAATATTAAGTATAATATTGTATATTTATAGTAACTTAGTAACATTTTGATACTAATGTGTACATATTCTTGCTAAGGGAACAGAACAGAAATTGGGAAAATAGTTGTAGTTACCATTTGATGATATATTTAATCTCTACCATTTTTAGGGTTTCAAAGCTTCTCAACATGTTATACTTCCAAGATTTGGTTTTGTTTTCCTTCTCCTTGTAGTTTACCTTTCTGAAGTAATTTTTAAAAAAAATTTTGTCATCATGTTCTTGCTTCCCTCCCCCTTTTTTTTTAATTCCCTGTTAATTTTTGAAAATTTTGCTGCTTAACTGTTTAAAAGCTTCTAATCTGCCTTTCTTCCTTCAGTGCCAGCAGGTTTATTTTTTTGTTTTGCAAGCCAGCTCTGTCTCTTTACAGTATGACATCTGATGTTGGAGGGTCGCACTTTCAAAAATGAGTCATCTGGTACATGGGGTTATCATCAGTTTTTAGCTCTTCTGTCTGGGAGACACACATTTGGAAGCATTCTTGGGGTACTTACCCACAAGGCTGGTGGAGATCAGGTGTGTCACAGATGATTTGCTTGCTCCCTGGGGGAGAGGGTGGAGAAAATTTTTGGATTTATGGTGCTGCCAAATCACTACCTCCCCCAGCATGCCCCAGTTTTTAGTTCTTAAATAATTTTGTACAAAATTGAAAGTTTAAATAAACTGCAGATGATCTGACAAATATTTGAGCTGCTGGAGTCTTTTTAAAATATTTCTTTATTTATTCTTGCATTCTTGTCTTGGAATTTGAATGAACAGCAGTGTGTGTAAATTTGAAAGCCTGATAACAAAGTGAGATTTTTTTTTTTTTAAGTTAAGGAATTTAACAAACATTTTTTCCCCCTTTCTGGTTACTCTGATTTTCAGATTTTTTTGTTAGTAAATTGTTTGAAATTGGAAATTTAAAGTCAATGATAAATTCACAAATCAAAGTTCTTAAATGGCACTTTGAAATTTTAACTTTTGATGTTAATTTTTTTAACTCTTTTGGGAATCTGAAAGTGTTAGATATGAATGAATGTGATCATGTTCCTCTAAAACATTACATATAAAATTATGTGGTTGGCCCAAGCTTTAGTTTTGTCTGCTCAGGTTGCAGTTTGCTGAACCTTGATCCAGAATTTGAGACCATGAATACCACTTTCTTAATATGGATAAGCAATATTGAGATATTTTCACAGTTGTATTATTGTATTACATGTATTTGACTTGATTTGTCTGTTGGTATCTAACTATAGTGTTTACAGTTTCCTTTCCTTAAAAACATTGTGTTGAGATTTTTATTAGTCCACCCCTTCAAATAAATGTTTTGTATGTAATCTGATTGGACTGCTTTTTTTCTCATGTTGAAATCTTGATTTTTTTAAACCCTTATTTAGTGCTTGTTTTCAAATCTTGCTTTCCCAAGTTAAGTTTTATTCCTTTTTTGAATATGGAATATTTTGCTAACTTTTCTTCAATTGCATTTTACAGATCACCAGGAGAACCTCAGTCTGACAACATTGAAGCTAGCCGAATGTAAGTATAATTTGGTTGAGGCTGTGGTATATTTTATGTAGTCCTAGACTATTTTCAGTGGTATCAAGTTATTTGAAAATGATTTCCAGGTAAAAGTAAGTAATGATTTAAAAGTATATATGAAAATGTCTACTTTTCCCTCTACCAAACACCTGTAAACTTTTGATAAGAAATCACTAGATGTTTACTATTAAATAGATAATTGCTTATTTCTGAATTCTTTTGTCATTTGCTCTCCTAGAAGTTGTGAGAATTAGGGAGACAGGGCAGATGAGTTTGACATTCTTAATCCCTACCATGTGAAAGGCATTGGGTTTTGTCATGGATACAAAGATTCAGAGTTAGTTCCTACCCTGGAGTAACTTAAATTGAAAGATGCAGAAGCAAAGTTTTCCAGTTACTGAGGTAAAATGGTACTCGGGATGCAGTGGGAACACAGAAGAGTACCAGAGTACCCAGGTGTGCAGCAGGAACCGAATCCAGATGGCAGGAAAATTGAGTGACTAAGTAAGGCTAGGATCAGTCTTGAAATATGACTGGAGTTAGGCAGCTGAAAGCATGAACAGATTTCTTCTAGGTAGAAGCATAAGCAAAGTTATGAAGCAGCATATTGAGTGTAGATAACAGTTAAGGACTTTTATATCATAGATTGATCAAAAGACAAGAAAGTAAAGATAAGACTTGGTAAAAAGGACCAAGTCCTTGCATGCCACATGAAAGGTCTTGATTTGTATCTCATAGATATTTGGGAATTGTAAGGAATTTGCTTAACAGGCAGTAGCATACCTGTAAGACATATTTTCAGTAACTTTAGTAGCAGAGAAACAGGTTTGAAGACAGACACGTGGACATGGTAACCAGGGATTCAGTAGTTCAGTCAATGGAAGCCTTAAAAGGAACAATGGTGTAATAATGAATTCAAAATCAGTTTTTCTGGACTTAAGACAAATACTTAGAAAGTGAAATAATGAAGTCTTCAGTGATTTGTTGTATGAATTTAAGAATTTTAAGACAGTAGAAGTGCACTATAGTAATTATCCAAGCAAGGTTTTCAAGACAGTAAATTGAAATGAAAAATGTTAGTGCAGAATTTGATCTTAAATAAGAGAAAAGATCCCCATCTTCTGAAGATAGGAGGAGATAAAGATAAACATGTGATTTTAAACTTTTAAACATGCATATGGGTAAGATTGAGAAAGTCAAGGTTTTCTTTACTGAAAATAGAGTAAATCCTTTCACATGCTATGTACACTGTGAAACTTCAAGAGGGAACTGTAAAATGTATTTCTCAGACTTATGTGACCATGTAATTTTTCTGTTAATTTAAAACAAAACCAAAAAAAAAACCCTCAATGTTTTTTTTACTGAATGAAGGAAATCTTTTTAAATACTTGATGTATATGTGACCATGTAATTTTTCTGTTAATTATATGTATAGAATATACTAACTATATTATATAACCATGTAACTATAATAAAATAATATAAAAATTGACCATCTTGGGGTTGGGGGTGTAGCTCAGTGGTAGAGCGCTTTCCTAGCATGTGTGAGATGCTGGGTTTGATCCTGAGCACCACATAAAAATAAATAAAATGTATTTATTGTGTTCTTTTACAACTAGAAATGAAAAAAAATCTTAATTAACCTTTTTAAAGTGTGCGTTTCAGTAGTGTTATGAGTGTTAACATTGTTACATAGTCATAATCAGAATTCTCTTTAGTTTGCAAAACAAGACCCTATACCCATTAAACAGTAACTCCCCATTCCTACTGCCCCTGGCAACCACCATTTTACTTTCTGTCTGATTTTTGGCTACTTGTAAGTACCCCATATAAATATAATTATACAGTTGTCTTGAGATTATTTTATTATACTTTGTATAATATCCTCAGGTTCATCTATATTGTAGCATATATCAGAATTTCCTTCTTTTTTTAGGCTGAATAATATCCCATTGCATGTATGTACTATAATTTGCTTATTCATTCATCTGAATGGGCACTTGGGTTGTTTCTATATTTTAGCAATTGTGAATAATGTTGCTATGAGCATTGGTATACTTTTTCAGACCCTGCTTTAAATTCTTTCAGTATATATGGTAATTTTGTTGTTAATTTTTTGGGAAACTGCCATACTGTTTCCACACCATTTTAGATTCCAAACAAAAGTGTATAGAGGTTCCAGTTTTTCTACCTCTTTACTAGCATTTGTTTTTATTTAATTTTTTTATATTTGTCATCCTGTTGGATGTGAAATGATATTTTATTATAGTTTAGTGACCATGTAAAGTTTTTTTTTAAATTAACAGTGTTTTGTGGAACATTATACTTAACACAGGTTAGTTAGGGGATTTGGGAATATTGAAAACTTAGAAAATTATTGAGGGTTATTGGTGAAGAAGAACTAAAGATCATTCAATTGAATGGCTCAAGGTTAGAAACATTATCACATTTGGAACACTTTTCTCCAATAGCCAGAAGATTATTCATGGTATTCACATTGAATATTAGCAGTGTAGAGGGGATAATACTAAAGCATTGTAATAGTTAAATTTTTATGCTATTTATGATGGCCAATAGAACCGTGTGTTCCAAGGTTCAGATGTGATGGTGGGTTAGGATTTTGCAGCACTCATTCTACTTTAAAAACATCAATTTGAATAATTATTCATGGACAAAAATACCTTCACAAGTGCTAAGGAAACCAGGTAATGCACTGGGTGTGGCACAGAAATGAGTAAATGTATTGAGGGTAGGCAAGACAGTTTTACATTATTTGTGTCAAGTCTCCATCAACCCTGGACAGGACAGTATGTAAAGAGATAATCTCCTTGCAGGAAGGAGAAGTAAGTATGCACCAGACTTCATAGAACTCAATACTGGGCCTGCCCCGATAAAACCCAAGGCTGAGCCATGTCTTTGGTTGTAGACCCTAGGCTGGTACCAATACACTGAGTTTCCAGGTGCACCTCAATGCCAAACCACATCCAATAGTCCCAGGTTCCAGGCTTGCCCAGTGCTAACCTGGAAGCTAGAATCCTACCCTCCAGCTTGGCCCCTGGGGTCCCACACTCCAGCAGGTTAAGTGTTTAGGCCTTGTTCTCCCGGTTTCAGTAGACTACAGTGCTTAGCCATACCCCTTGGATTCAGGTTGCATGATCGTCCTTTTGAATCCAGGTACTAGGTTAGCCTCTGTGGCCTCAGGACCTATTCTACCTCCTGTGGACCTAGCTTTCAGGCCAGTATTCTCACACTTGGCCTCCAGTCTGACTCCTCTGGACTCTGGCTACACACTTACCTCAGAACCAATCAAGCCCTAAACTTCAGATTGTTCCCTGTGACTCTAGGCTTCAATGGACTCAAGAGTGTAGACCCACCCCAGTGGACTCTGTTATCTACATACTAAGGCTACACTTCCTCCCTGTAGACCTAGGCTCTAGGCATACCCACCCCAGTGGACTCTGTTACCTATATACTAAGGCTACAGTTCCTCCCCTTAGACCTAAGCTCTAGGCTAACCTTTGGGAGCTCAATCTTCAGGTTTATCCCAGTGAATGCAGATGCCAGGCCCATCCTAGCACTTGATATCTTCTGCAGTCAGATTCTAGGCCCAACTCAGCATCAGGTCAGCCAGTGTGGATATAGGGTCTAGATCCACATTCACAAACCCCATCAATAGGTTTACCACAGTGGATCCAGGCTTCATGAAATTCAGCCTTACAGATACAGGCTCCAGTCCTGCTTTCTTGTTGACTTAGGGACTCCCACCACCCTGCTCGTGGACTACAACTGCAAGTCCTCCCATGGGCTACAACAAATGGAGGCTCAAAACCTCTAGATAGGCAGACTGTTCAAGGGCTTTTAAAACAAAGCCAGTCTGAAAAGACAGGAATAAGTCCGTACTTTTTTCAAATGTGCAGATACCAACACATGGCCATTGTGGATCAAGAACAGTTAGAAGTAATTAAAACACCAATAATCAGTCCTAAAAAAGTAGAGATTTATGAGCTGCCTAATAAAGAATTCAAAGTAATTGTTCTAAGGAAACTTGGTGAATTAAAAATAAAACACAAAGAAGTAATTCAGTGAAATCAGTAAACAGTAAACAATCATAATGAGAAATTCAACCAACAGATTGAAAATATTTTCTTAAAGAAAAATTCTTTAGTTGAAAAATAAAGTGAAATGAAAATGAATACAAGAGCATAAGCAGCAGAATTGATCAAGCAGAAGACTTTGAATCTGAGGACAAGTTTTTGAAAATATACAGTTAGAGGATATAAAAGGAAAATGATTGAAAAGGAATGAAGAAATCTTGCAAGGGAAGCTCCAATAAGGTTCAGTCCAGGGGTTACGGTTGTGGCTCAGTGGTAGAGAGCTTGCCTAGCATGTGTGAAGCACTGGGTTTGATTCTCAGTACCACATATAAATAAAATAATGGTGCCTTAATAACTTATAAAAATATTTTTAAAAATTCAGTCCAGACCACATTACTTCAGGGTATGAATGAATAATCAAAGTCAAAAAGGATATAGAAAACAGGAAGTACTTTACACCTTAGGGAGTTCTAATAAGTCTAGGAACAAAAACCTTATATGCCAGGAGAGAATGTGATAGTGCATTTAACCTGTTGAAAGAAAACACAATAACAGGAATACTTCACCTGGCAAAACTATTCTACAGAAATGAAGGGAGTTTATTACCACCAGACCTGTCTTATGAGAAATATTACAGAAAATTTTTAAAGTTAAAAGAAAATGATGCTAATTAGTAACATGAAAACATAAACCCAGTCCAATTCTTCCAATTTTGTATCAATGACATATAAATTACTTACATTAAGTATGAAAACTAAAAGACAAAACTGTTCAAAATTGTAATAGGTACAATATTTTGTTGAACTGTATGGTATGAATTGTGGCATCAAGAATGTGAAATGTGAGCTGGGTATGGTGGTGCATGTCTGTAATCCCAGTGGCTCTGGAGGCTGAGATAGGAGG